TAATCTTTATCCAATAAGATATGAGATATTTATAATCCAATAAAATATTATGACGAAAGGTCATTATACAACAATATCAAAAATTATAACTTAATTTTCTGGTAGTGATTTAATATCATATTTTTTTAATTAATCAATAAAATAACAATATTTTAATAATGTAAAATAATGCAAACCAATTTTATTTATTATATAATTTACATTATGATAATTCAGGCTGGCACTATGATAATTTAGCATTAGCATAGTACCAGCCTGAATTATAATGAATGCCAACCAATAAAATCACGTTTATGTGATAAATATTCACGTGATTTGTTTCCGATCATATAAATTGACTAGTTATTGGTTTAATTTTTTCTAAATTCCATCTTTGTAAAGTGTTGAGTTATGATCTCCGGCACCATATAAATCTAACATATTGATTATGTACCACCTGATTCTTTTTTGGCCCTCTCCAAAAAAATCGTCTAATAAATGCATCTACCCTAAAAATTATTAAATTTTGTATTAACCTCGGAAGAGTAATTTTCATGCATTATTACGTATTTGATTTTTTTTAACGTTAATAAATTGTAACATTTTAATTGGCTAGTTAGGAACTTTCCTTCTGTGGCTCCGTGTGAATATTACGTTATTCGCGATTCAAATTAAGTATGAGGTACTTCGTTCCACCGCATCAGATCATTTACGTCTAACACAAAATTGTGTTTTTGCAACAATATTTTTTCCCTGTCCGTTCCTTCATTTGGTTCTTTCTTATATGTTTCTTGCTTGTCAGTATATTTTCACCTTGTAAGATAATTTTTGTACATATTTTTTTTTTAGTTTTAATAATAATCAAGGTAAAGTTGTATTTCCCTATTTGAAAATACTAACATTTTCAACTCGCATTCATTTGGGGGCAAATATAAGGAGCATTTTATCACTTACGAAATATCTTTGTAATTTGATTAATAGGAAGAATAAAGAAATTTTCTTGTACCAAAACAAAGGCACACCATTCCAATGTCTTTGAGACTTTTCACATCGGCTTCTCGTCTTAGTTCCACAGTTATTAATAATGGCCGCGGCCATTTTTCGGCTGGCCTCATAAAAACACTAGCAGCCTCCTTGACTAGTGCTTCGCATGCACACTTTGCCTCTACTTCACCAACTCCACGTGGTTCCCCAACTCCGCGTGGTTCTCCAACTCCGCGTGGTACTCCTACAGCCTATGAAGTAGACAAAGACTACTGGTCTCTAAAAACCACCATTGATGACATTAGAGCAAAATATGGTTTAAAGGGTGGTAGTCCAATCAAGGATCCAAATCTCGATCAACATTCTGATGATCTCGAGATAGACATTACCGCGGCCGACGCACAAAAACTCTCGCGTATTCAATCTTTGCTCGAGAATGCGGCACAGGATTTGAACCATCTCATTTCAAATGCATCAATTGGACCAGATGGTCGACCAAAAAAGCAGGTATGGTTGGCCGAAGATGATGATGTGTCGGGCAACGCACATGAAGCCATCAAAAGTTTCCAAGAAAATTACGTCGCGGGCGATGTGGATTTAAACGCGTATCATTTGGAGAACACTGATGAAAAACCGGTCGGGTATCAAAATATTTATAATCTGAAACAGTAAATAAGTTCGTTTCTCAGAGATAGTTTATTTTTTTTGACGCGATTGTAAATTCTCATTACATTATACTTTAAATAAATATTTCATGGAATTTGATCTTCATCCGCATGCATATTGATAAATATTCGAATTAAAAAACGGCATTTCATAATTTCTGCAAGATGGTTGTTGACAGTGCTACTCGCTTTATTAATGACCCTAAAAACAGAGAAATATTACAAATTGTAAAAGGATTTCGAAATGGAGCAGTTTACGGTGCAAAAGTGCGATTTCCGCATGCACTAGTAATGACTTTTCTTTTTCGAGAAGGCAGGTATGTTAATTGTAGCTACTATTGTCATTTTTCAAGAAAAGAATAATTGTAATTCGAAATATATAATAATTATATAATTTAAATATGACAATAGTCTTAAAGATAAGCTAACCTGGATTTTTCAGGCTACAAAACAACATTCTCGCAATCTTGCCTTTTTCGTAACAATATACAAATCGTTAATGTATCTACAACGAAAAATTGCGGGAGACAAAGAACAAAGTGGACATTCATTTATAGCGGGTCTAATTGGCGGTTATATTATTTTTGGGGAGAACAATAGTATCAATCAACAGGTTTATATTTCACTATCATCTTGATTATTTAGTTTATTGTATTTTTATATATCAGATGGATGCTTTTTTAGATTGTACTTTACTTGTTTGCGCGTATAATGGTGGGCCTTGCTAAAGTACCAGCAGCGCATAGAGTTGTCGATGCGCCGAAACACACTTTTCCCATCTTCGCGTCACTCGTTTGGGGGATTGTTATGTGGCTTTTCCGCCACGAGCGAGATGTCCTTCAACCTTCTTTACAATCTTCTATGCAATATCTTTATTTGGATTCTAATCGATGGAATTCACTTAGGAACTTTATATGGCATAATAAATAATCGCATTGGATTCTTGATTCCGTTTAATTTATAGACACAATAATTATTTTTCAAATTTAGGCTTTTAGTTATATTTTTTCTTTAACTTCACGGTCATCCATCGAGTCAATTTTAAATAAACAAGTAAAATTTTACACAGCCAAAAATTGTGTCAATTTTGTTTTTATTTCGATTCTTTATCGGTCAAATTTGTCTTGTGAGTTTCCAAGTTCAATAAAAGATTTTTTTGGGTTTGTGAAAGTATTTGAGGTATCTTTGATGTCGGGGAACTAATCACTCCCAGCAGTTCAGAGTGCAAAGTGTGAATTCCAGGCAACTCTGAAACACGTTCAATATCTTGTATATTCATCAAATTCGAGTCCAATTTCCCTCCAACAAGAAGTAATTTTTTGTTCTTGTTAATTATCGCAAGAAGGTCTTTAATCAACTTTGGATTCTCTTCGTCCGATACATTAGAAGTAATAATACACGTCGGTCCTACAAGCAACGGCGTTAAATTTTCATACGTACCCGTTAGCTGTAATATTGCTCGAAAGATTCCCAGTCGAATCACCAAAAGTTCCGCATTAACTTTTGTTAGAGATTTACGTAGTTCCAATTGTTCGGGTATCGTAAGATTATTGTGTTGCAATATGAATAGAAGTCGATTGCAATGCACTTTGATATAATATAAATTATGGAGATAGATTCGACGAGGAGGAAATGGGTTTCCATATCTACTGGTTTCTGGTCGAGGAATGTCAATTATCGTCGACGAGACTTCTGGAGTGTTGGAGGGTATTGTCGTAGGATGTAATTGGATCTTTATTTTTTGGGAAGATCCTGTTAAAGTTGAGAGATCTAATTTTTGTCATTTAAAAGAAAAGCTGGATGCAACATTAAGAAAACAGAAACCATATAGTTTAAAAGGAATCAATTTACATTTTGAGTACTTAGGGAATTTGGAACTCTTTTCAAGCAAATTTATTAGATTTGTTTGGCAAAAATAAACATTACATTTTTTTGCCAGCGGCGGAAACAAAGGATTTCTTTGGTACATAGCTGAAGTCGTTAAGAATGACAATAGATCTACATCCATCTGCAGATCAGATGTCATATTAACACGAAAGAAACACTCTAACCTTATTGTCATGCCCTTGTGGAAGAAAGATATCCTAGTGACACACACCATTTATCGTTTTTTCAACTTCTAAGCCTACAAGAAAAATCATTCTGCCTAGACGGCTGACAAACGACTTTACAGACATGTTTTCCAGCGATTCTGAAGATGATCTCACAGCTGTCTACAGCTCTGAGTCGCCGTCTGTAGCTTTCAATACACGTAATGGTATTTCCGAGGAAGAAGAGGAAGATAATAACACCCAAAGTGAAGACATTCTAGATCACATCGATCATGGTGATTTTACCTTTCACGGTGACTACAACTCTATAAATATGGAATTAGATAATGGTATTGACTACACTTCTGAAGACGAGAACGAGGACGAGGAAGAGGAGGAAGAGGAGTATTCAGCAGATACTGGTTCTTCTCAAACAATAGAAACTCATACACGTCACCACTATCGATCGTCTTCTCAACGAAGTCGTGCGTTCTCTCCTCTTGTCTCGCGTTTGGCGTCGTTTCGCAGGCAAAATTATAATTTTTCCCCTGTATCATCGACGACAACTTCAAATGTTACTCCTATAAAGTTTAATGCAGAAATAGTTTCGAAAACCGGATACGGTAACCGGTCAAAAGAATCAGAACAATCCACGACGATACCTCGTTGCAGTTTTTTACACTCTGGTTTATCGTTTAATGGAACACAAAATCTAATGAACTCACATCCATCCCAACGCGAAGAATGGGGCGTTAAAGTGGTATTTATTCAATCATTTTGTAGATAATTACGATTGCTATTGATTTTTTCATGCAATTAATAAAAATATTTTTTAGACAATTCAATATGTAGACTATAAAACTGGGACGGCTATCGGATTAATGGAAGCTTTGAATGTGCCTTCAAGTAACAATAAAGTAGTCACCTACTGGGAAGGTGAAATTATCGACCTGGTTAATCACTCATGGTGGACAAATAAATGGCAAGCTACCCCTGATGTTGACCTTCAACATTGGAGGAAATTCGAAGCTTTTCGCGGGACTGATGGTAGAAGGTAAATTTAAAGGTGGATGGATACGTTCTATCAATAAAATCTGACTGGTTTATTGATGATGATCATTTTTTCGTATGTACAGTATTTCTCGCGGATTTCTTTCACGAAAATGGTTCAAACAAGTCTGTGAGAAATATATTTTTATGCGATGGAAAGGTTGGGATATTTTTTTTTGATCCAATTTTACTTTTAGATAATGATAATTTAGTGTTATATTTATTTGTAGAACGATGTTTTGTTGACATGTCAGCTCAAGATAGTGGTTTAACAATTGCTGGATTTTATTATATATGTATCAAGAGAAGTGATGGTTCAATTGAAGGTATTTTTTTTTGTAAATATTTTTCTCGTTTGATTACGAGATAATTATTAACTCATTTCTTCTTTCCAGGCTATTATTATGATCCCGTCTCCACTCCTTATCAGAAATTGACACTTAAGCCAGTTATTGAAGGAACTGGTTTATCATTTGCTGAATTTTCTTTTCACTGAGTTGTTTCTCTTTGGATCATATAATACACAATATATATACATAAATAACTGATTTTATTGTAATAATATTGTTCGTGAGTTAGGTAAATAATAGTAATTATTATAATATCTCACCAGCACGAAAATTCCAGCTTGCAAGATATTATTGATTATAATATATAATCATGAATGATGTGATTCACTTTTTTATTAAAGGGTGTAAATATTATATTTTCTCATAAGTTACGATTAGTGTATTTTTAACATTTGATTCAATGATAGTTTCTCGTCATCATCCATCATGTACAGTTAATTTTTATTAACTTTGTTAGTTTATTTTTAAACTATAGCTAATTTTTTCTGGGGAATAGACAAACTGGAATTTGTTCACATAACCAGTAAAAAGCAATTATAAGTAGTTTTGTTCGCTATGTTTCACAATTGGTTTTTGGACTTGTATACTAATACATCGAATTTTAAATTAGACCTCATGAAAAATGAGGTTTAATAACAATCTACATTATTTGGATCACCATCCATATCCATGATCTATAGAAGGGGAATAAGAGAGTTGCTGTTGTCGATTGCGACTGGAGAAATTAGATGAATTATTATTACTATTATTATTATTGTTGTTGTTGTTATTGTTATTATTATTATTATTATTATTACTATTATTATTATTACTATTATTATTATTATTATTATTACTACTACTACTGCTGCTACCATTACCACCGCCACCACCACCACTACTACTGTTGTTGTTGACGTGGGGCATATTAGTAATTACTGTGGGCCTATTCGTAGGGGAAGGAGCAATAGGTATATAGTGTCGTGGTGACATGTGCGAAGAATTGGGTTGTGGTAATGATGATGATGATTGTAGAGACGGCGATCCCATGCTAGAGTTAGTGGAGTTTGTTGTAGGGGGTCGTGCAATAATCCCAGAATTATCATAAGGATAATATTGATTGGTTTGATATGGAAGCTGATAATTTGTGTTAGGGAACGGTGAGTGATGGCGACGACGACGATGTAACACAGAGGGGGATCCAATTGAGAGAGAATTTTCAGATCTATCCATAATAGGTGATGACGAATTCTCGGTGAGTTCAAGTAGATTTTGGATACTTGGTAAATTAATCTGTGACTTTTCTGAATTTCGATTTTGCGTATCATTCGATGATGAAATTGATGGTTGTTGTGGAAGTGGTAATCCAACAGATAAATTTTCGGGACTATTTGAAATTGATCGATATTCAGAAATGGTTTTATTTGAATTAAATAATGAATTTCCAATTGAATTACGATGTTGAAGTTGATGTTGGTTTTTATGTTGATATTGATTATTGGCTTCATTATTTGAGGATGAAGTGTTTGATAATTGACGAGGCAAATAAAACGATGCAGATGATGGTGAGGTGGTGGTTGTTGCTGCTGTTGTATGAACGGAAATTTGTAACGAGGATGCCGGAATTAAACGTTCCGATAACTCCGCACTCAGTGTTGATTCCTCGATAGAATGAAATGGTGAGACTGTTGATGTCTTTGATAATGGGAAATTTGATGCGATCTCATATGGGTTTAGATAGTCAGAGCTTGACGGTGTATTCTTTTTTTGTACCTTTGGGATTTTTTCTAACAAGGATTTTTGTGGAGCACGTTTCCGCGAATTCATCAAAATTTCCTCGGCATTTGTTTCAGAGACTTCTTCGATATTTTCAAGTTTCCTGAGGGTTCCAACTACCTTTTTCTCGTCCTTCATTGCTGATTTTTCTCCATGTATACATACATGATGATGATTATCATTATGTGAAGTGATTGTAGACGCCAATTCAGGACTCTGTGCAAGTAATTCATCATCATTGGTGATTATAGTGTTACTTATTTTTGTCTCAGCCATCGGTAGAAAGGTTGCAGGAGTGCTGAGGGTGGTGATAGTTGACTCAATTGGAGTATTTGATGAAAATATATAATTACTTTGAGTATCCGATGATGCATTTTTATTTACAGGCTTTTTAATATTATTGCCATTTGAAGAATCATTCATCTCTGTATTTTGTGCAATTAGCAACTTCAATATAATAATAGATTAAATTATTATCAATACGAAATAAAAATTTAGATTTCATGAAAAATATTGGTTAATACTTTTTTCGTCAAATCTTCAATTATGTTCCGTCGCGCAACTACTCCTTTTTCATCTGTGACAACATATTTTTGCCAAGCTGCCAGTATTTCGTTGATTCTGTTGGCTATCAATATTTTGGTATGATGTTTTGCGATGGCCAAGGTTCTAAAGTCTTGGTCTATCGATTTGTCAAACTGCAGAATCCCAAGATGAATATATGTGCACGTATGCAAGTATTTAAGCTATTTATCTTTCCACACTTAACGAACTAATTATTATTTACCTGAAGTATACTTTTTTTCAAAAATTTCATGAGGAATGATTCATATTCCGAATCGACAAATATTCGTTGCCCTTTTCTGTTTTCACAGTCCAATGCTTGTTCTGCATAGGCTTCCTTGGTTTCTTGAAGTATTACCTAGATGATGTGATTATATCCGATATAATTAATGGATTCTTTCAAGAATACTGTTTTTAAATTAATAACTAATTAAAGATAAATAAAATCATACTAATATTACCATCACTGCACTGGCAAGCTGCTGTAAAACTTTGGGACATATGTATAATCGCTTCTGAATATTGTACATCAATTTATTGTAATTCGTATTAGTAACTTCCTTTATTTTCCCTTTTGTAGTTTTTGCGTTGGTTTGTGACTTTGTATTCACTTGAGCTGCCGCTGCTGGTGACTGTCCCAGTGAATTTTTATTGTTATTATTGTCATCGTCATCATCAACAATAATATTATCCGATGAGAATAAATTTGATGTATTACTATTAATATTAGATATAGATGATGATGCTCGAAAAATAAATAATTCATTGAGCGTGTCGTCGTGAACAATTTTCGCCTTCTGTGTACCGAATAAAGGACGTGAAGATGTAGATATTGAAACGACAATGGCTATACTATTTGGAAACTAAGAGAGCAAAGTTCGAGATAACCCATTAAAATCAATTGTTTTGCACCAGATAATTATTATTACACTAGATAATCGTAACAGTAATGATTTGCTCGATTCGTTTTTACCTGTGTTTGAAGTTCTTGCTGTTTTGCGATGTCTGCATCAGTCGGCGTGTATTTGATATTTGATGAAAAATGACTGGAGGATAGCGCAGTTTATAAATAATAACCAATCGAAACAACAATGATATAACAACTGATATTAGACTAATAATATATATATAATCAAATCACGATTTCCTAACGTAAAGTACCATACCTTCGATACCAGCCTATTAAGTTACACCCCAAACTCGCAAATAGTTCAAGCGCATGTGTTCTGGCTGTATCGGTTTCGCGGATATTATCAGTTAAAAGGGATGGCAAAGATCTTTAGAATAAAACGCGCGCAAAAATTAATTGAGTTGAAATTGAATAATAAATGAGGACATATCGCGTGTTATTTAAATCGTGATCGTGCTTACCTTCGCGATGAATAAAAATTGGTAACATGACATGTGATAATATCTTTCTCTGATGTATCCATAGTGCACGTTCCACCCAGATAGCCCAAAACATGGTGACGATAATCCGAATAAGCACATTCCAAAAGAGCAGACACTAAAGATTCATCAATCACAACACGAAAGTTCGCACTAAAAAAATAATGTGTAAATAAATAATATTATATTTATATATTGTAACTTTGAGATTAGCTTTTCTAATATACGTAAAAAACATGCCTCATCACATGTGAACTAACTGATCGTGACAAGAATACTTGATCAGCTTCGCTCTCTGATAACTCACAATGGAATTGTGAAGAGCTTGCTTACCCAACAGGGTTATTTTCTAGTTTTCTATTTGTTTCAGCTTTTGACCTTTTATTGCTATTACGATGATCAGTTGATGCTGCTGCTGGCGTGCTAGTATTAGTGAAAGATTGATCCAGGCTACTTGTCGATCGGCGTCTAGAAGATCCTGGGCTGCTAATCTTTACATTTTGTTGCTGTTGTTGCAAAGAATCTACGTTAAATGTTGAAGAGGAAGGAACCATTGTACTCCAGGGACAAGTTTTATTTGTAGATGAAACTTGTTCAGTCTGTATAATAGGGCTATTGCTGTTTTGAGATCTATGAAGCATTTAGACCCTACAAGGTACAAAACTAAATTTTACTTATTATGCTTCACTATATCCCTGATGTCTTTTCAAGTCTTATCACCGACAAAATAGATTAATCTCAGCTTTCTCGGTACGTTATTTTTAAATGCAAGATTTATTAAAAAATTAATTTGCACGTGCGTTAGAGCATGAATATAATAATGCCTCAAAAAATTTTATCATTATGGTATACAAGATTTGGTAACTACGGATTAAATTTTCCTAATTAAGTATATAGTTATTAAAATCTCGTATAACATTTGTTTTAACAATTATCCAACATGTAAATTTCAAAATATTGTTACAGATTTGCAAATGTGAACAAGAGTTGGGAGAGGGAATTAAACAATAAGACAAAATAATAAAAGGATATATCTAAGTTATATACCAATTTTCTACTAAATTGTTATAGTTCAAAGAAAAGATGAAATTGTGGTGAAGATAAAGAATAGAAAAAGAGAAGTATTATAACAAATAAAGTGAAATACTGAGATAAATAATCTTTTGATGTTTCTATATTAGCATTAAGTATTTTAGTAATATTGAAATATAATTGCTAATAACAAAATAACAAAGATTCTTTTATTTTATTCTTTTTATAAGAAAGAAATATTAAACAATTAATCAATAATAAAAATATTTATTTCAATTCAAAGTTTCAAAATAACAATATATTAAGAAGGAAAATAATATTTTTATAAAATTAAAAGCTTAAGATTTTTTTATTATATTATTATTTTCAAGTTTCAACATATTGAATTAAAGTTCAAATATTATTTTTATTTATATATTTTTTATAAATACAAATTTGATATTATAACCAATAAAATTTTAAAATAAAAATAAAATTCAAAATAAAAAAGATAAATTAATAAGATAAAAAAATAAAATAGAAAAAATAAATAGAAAAATAAAAAAGATAAACTAAAAAAAGATGAAAAAATAAAAAAGTACTAAATTATTTTTATTAATTGTTTAATTTCAAATTATTTTAATATAAATTTAATTAAAAAATTTTATTAATAAATCAATTAGTAGAATATTTTATTAAATAATAATTTAATTTTATAATTATATAATAACTAATAAAATTATAAAATTATAATAACTAATAAAATTATAAAATTACATGTGATTTTATTAATAAAATATAGTAAAACTTGAATAAATATTTTTTTATTTTGATATAAAAATAAAAAATATTTTTAATAAAATTTATATAAGAAAAAATTTTAATTTTATTATATTTTACTACTAAAACTACATATATAATTTCATAATTTTGTTAATTATTATATATATAGTGACTAATAGAATTATAAAATCACACATGTAATTTTACTAATAAAATATAGTAAAAATTAAAATTTTTGTCTTATATAAAAGTTTTCAATTTTATTAATAAAAAATTTTTATTTTTATATCAAAACAAAAATTATAGTTTAATATATATTTTTTCTGGATTTTCTAGATTTTTTTACAAATTTGTTTTAATTGCAAAATTATTACAAAAATTTTTTATAATTAATTTTATATTTTAATTATAGAAAATCCAGAAAAATATATATTAAAATATAACTTATAATCTTTGTTTTGATATAAAAATAAAAATTAATAAAATTGAAGACTTTTATATAAGACAATATTTTATTAATAAAATTATATATATAATTCTATAATTTTGTTAATTATTATACTTATTTTAATAAGTATTTAAAATTATATTTTTCAAATATATATATTAGTTTTTTATTTAGTTATATTTTTATTTTTCAATATTCAATAAAATTTATACAAGTATTTTTATATTAATAAAATTAATTAGAATTTTGAATTAAATATTTTTAGTAAAATAATATATTTATTTATATTATAATATAAATATTTAGTTATTATTTAATTAATTATATTTAATAATATAATTAAATTTCTTTATAATTATTATTTTTAGAAAAACAAAATTGAATAATTATAAAAAGAATATAATTATAAAGAGATTTTTTTATTATATTTATATATAAATAAAAAAGTAAAATAGAAAAATAAAGTATATTTTTTTATAATTTATTAATTAAATAATTTTTTATAATTAAATATGCAAAATTATATAATTTTTTTATAATTAATTATAAATTATATTATTTTCAAAAATTTATACTTATATAAGTATAAACAATTATTATTAAAAAATTATGTATAAAATTACTTTTTTAATATTTTTTATTAGTACTTTAAGCTAAATTTTGATATTTGTTTTTCATATTTCTCACATTTTTTATTTTTTTATATTGTTATATAATGATCTTTTGTTATAATATTTCATATTATTGAATTATACATATTTTATATCTTATTAAATAAAAGTCAAATCACGTGAAGCAAGCAAACAAGTAAGCAAACAAGCAAATAAGCAAACAAACAAATGAATAACTAAATAAATGAGCAAATGAGCAAATGAATAAGCGAACAAATAAATAAACACTAAAATCAATGGAATTAGTGAACATGAATTTGTATAGCTGATGAAATATAGTTTGAATATGTATAAAAGCAATATATATTATAATTATTAGAATTAGATATAAACAAGTTCTTTTAGATAATAATTCTCAATTATCATATTGTTACCATTCTACCTTTCATCAACTATATTACATTATATTTTTAGCGCAGTAATATCTATCTAGACTTTTTCTTTTATTTTTACTTTTCTATATTCCTTCTATTTTTATCCAATAGCATTAATCTATATTTTTATCCAATTATTTTACATTATTATCGCATCATTTTAGTCTAGATT